TGCAGGCGGTGAGGGAGTGCATGCGCTCAGAAACGTTCGTCTGCCACTCATCTATTACCTTTCTCCATTCAAACAAGCGAACAGAGTCAGCGATGTCCAGCGTCTCGCAAAATGAGAGGAGGCAGGTGAACTATCAGGCCATGCGTTGAGCTCGCAACGCACACGCACGTTTATATTCACGGCTGCGTAACCAGTTACGAGGTAACACAAGAAACGAAAACATTTGCGCTGAGCTGTCCAGCGCGGTACCATGCGCAACAGGAACACTCGCGTTTCTCCACGAGCACCTTTCACTCAGTTGAGCGGAATTATTTCTGTAGTAAGAGCCTCAGAGGTAATGGTCGGCAATGTGTGGGAGCAGTTTGCTGTCTGCATGGACAGATGCGCTCGGCACCCTTGCCGATAGGCGAGCGAAAATTCAGAAGTATCAAAATAAGCATCAAGATGAGTATCACAGTAAGGTGTCCGCTCTGGCACCCTGGGAACGCATTTGCTCACAGTTCACATTTCAAACCAATCGCGCCGCCCTGATAATGTACAACAAGGAATTAGTTAATGCCTTGTGTATGAATGCCTTGTATGTACCTGTGCACCTATATACCTACGTATGTACATATAGTAATACCTTGTTGTATATTAATATTTCGCACGTAATTAATAGATTATAAGCAATAACTTGGTACGATACTTGGTATGGTACCTGGAACAGGGTCAAGTCGCAGAATGCTGCGCCGCTGAAGAGGGCCGGATTTGCTGCACGGCGTTGACGCACTTCTCGATCTGAACAGCGCGGAAACAAAAAATATGTCAGAACTGCCGAAATCAAAAGCTGATAGGCAACAGAAATTTGGCGCCATGCAACATCAGCAGTGGTGCCGCCGCCACAACTTGTTCCACGCTTGCGGCACTCGCCAAGCAATAGGAATGCAATTCTAGCTGGCGAGTCCTTCAAAGGTCTATGCCGCAAACATCAACACGGAATTTAAATTCGGACATGCCACACACGTACTGTGTGCGCGGAAACAGCTCGGCGTGCGTTGCTCAATGACGCTGAACACGGTCATTCGCGATCAACAACCATTGAATGCAGACTGACGCAGCCTCCACGTAACACGCTGCCTGATCAGGCCTGATCGTCACGTGGGCCAAGCGAGCTGTGTGCTACAGTCGTATGCCACGCGCTGACTAACTATTCAGCCTCTTTTGTCCTCAGTCTGTTTTTGGTCATAGGCATTTGCTAGGCATAGCCTATTTATTCTTTAGTCATGGACCCAATGGGTGCATGGCATGCTCTGCCGCAACGCCCGCATACAGCTGTGGAGTTGTTTGCGCCGTCGCGCGGTGAGCGTTGCTCACAACGTCGCATGGGTGCCAAGCGCGGGCCACTTTCTTGTCGCGCTGTCCCCGAACAGGAGCAGAACACTTGGGACTGGCCCTAGCTCTCCAATCGCAACCAGCTGGCTCGGCCATGCTTGCACGTCGATCGACTCGGTACGGAGCGCGGCGCAGGGCATGCGCGTATGGGCTGCGTCGCCGCAGGTCCGCGAACCCTGGAGATGAGCGGAGATGAGCGAGCAGATCGGCGCGATGCCCCACGCAGCCTAGCGCTCCTTCCCTTCCACAACTCCCCGAGATTCCGGCGCATCTGGACTCACTCAAGCCCGGTCAAGCGAACATTGCAGATGCCAGGTCGTTGTGCAAGATCTCCGTGCCGCAACCTGCTTTTCGCGCAAGCCGCCGCGGCGTTGGCCAACAGCCGACAGTCTCGGCGCTGACGGCGCGCGTGCGCGCCTCAACGCTTCCCCGGAACCCAAGCAGTCTGCAGCTGCGCAGATAACACATGTGACTGTTCAGTAGCGCTCCGTGAATGGACTCAGGAGCACCAACCTTGGCGCCATGGCTTGGGTGCTGGCCAGTGTCCAGCACGAGCGTCCTGTGCCCATTTCTCCCCGCGCGTCGCCTGCCGAACGCCGCCGCATCAAGCCACGAACCCCCCTCTCACCCAATCTACCCGCAACTCGCCCTCCATGGACCGTGCGCGCTCGGATGGCACTCGAGACAGCGGCCACTGCCCGCGCCCTTCCCCCACAGGCAGCGCCGCGCTTTTCCGGGCGGGCAGAATCGCGAACGCGATGGCCTTGGTCCAATTTCGCGACGATCGCCGCGCAGTCTGGACTCCCCTCCCCCACGCTGCCTGCCAGCACCTCTTTCCAGACCTCCCCAAGGCCTCCAGCCCCCGTCCGCGGCCACTCCCACAGAAGAGCTGCCGAGCTGCAAGGAAAGCCGCAGCCTTTATATCCCGTCCCTGGACATCGGACGTGACATTCGCAGCCGAGGTTGCCCCATCGGGTGTCTGGTTCGCAAGTCATCCACATCTTCAGCGTCAGAGGGCGACCAGTGCATTAGTCCGTTCCCTCGTGGTCAGATATGGGACGCCAAAGAGAAGTCAACACCACCGTGGGCACTGTTGAGCGCCTTGTTTCGGTAGGTCACTCCGGCACACAGCGGAACATACCACACACTACTGCATCCACCTGTGGCACGGGACGCATTGGAGCGCGTCCCTGCACGTCCCGGTTCGCATCCACATGGGCGCTGCTTGAACAACAACGTAGGTGCATGCGCTACATTGATGCAACACACCAGAACACACGAGGCTATTCTGATGTCCTGGAGCCTTGTACACCAACACAGGCTCCTTCTATAACTGCTGTTGGTATCAATATATAATTTGAGCAGAGGCCTCTGGTGCGTCGCACACTTCTATATGTTTCCAGATTCTTTTGATCATGTTCGCATCATTGCAGGACCGTTTTGACAATACAAGGATGGACACGGCCAGCACACCACGAAGACGTTGATAATCGCATTACGTATTAATGAGGACGTCAAAGAGGGCAAACTTGTGCTGCTTGTAAGAACATCCGCCTCCAACGCCACGGCAACAATCCTCATGTACCACTTGTCGAACATTGTTGAGACGTTGCCCATGCGCACAAGTTGCGATGGGATATTATTGGGAGAGCCGTCTACTTACCTGTGCGGAAAAAATATTTGCGTGTGCACATTTTCCCGCAAACATGCGCAAATCAAGGACATGCCCATACATAAATACAGGTGTCAATACAGGCGTGCACCTGCAATTATCACCAATAGATAACCGCTGTGTCGATTGCGACACCGTTTAAAAGGTATTGATGCCATCACAATCGCTCTGCGACGGCAGCACTTAACGCAAAACGGCATCACAGCCGGGATCGCAACGACGGCGATTTCTCATAATTCATGTGCGTATTATCCACCCTAACTCGGGGCAGTGCAATAATGTCACACACCGTCCCTGAAAATTTGACAGGGGACTGCCTCCTAGACCGCACCCACACCGAGTCTAGCCTGTCCTCGCAAAGGGTGACGACGTCGTCGAGCAAGTGTACGTGCTCCACGGAGTAGCTGGCCACTTACACCAATGCAGCTCGCTGCTGCCCCTCAACGCTAGGTAAGTACGACGCACATGGACGGATGCTTGCGCGTACGCTGGATGAGTACGCAAAACCCATATGTAGCCTGAGTCTGAGAGGCTGGAAAAGTGCCCATGCGTAACTAACGAACTCGAATTAGAAACTTGCGCTTCAGGCGCAGAACGCGGGCACAAAATTTGCAAGTTCTTCCTTTCAAACCATGCTGAAGCTGTGCCAAGGAATTGTGTTTTGGAAACGTGCCAGTGGTGTGGAATCTTCCATGCCAATGTTCCATGTCAATTCCATGCCAATCAACTGGCATCGCACCGAAGGAATGGCAAAATCCGTTTCCAGAAACGAGGGCAGACAGTCCTGTACATCTGCCGGGAAACGCCTCAAAGGCGCAGATCGTGTTGCGCGATCGGCACACAAAAGCCGGGAGCGTACCTGAAGTTTTGCCAATGGCTCGCTCTGGCATTTGTTGTGCTCTAGATTTGGGAGCATTCCAAGATGATGATGCGCAGGCCTGCGCGTCTGGATGCGCCCCGATGGGGATGCTTAATGTCAAGGGGTATCCACAGTGCCCCAGCGGGTGCAGGCAGTCTGTGTCAGTGCTGGGCTAGCAGCATTCAAACAGAAGACGACGAAAAGGGTGGCGTATGATGCAAATGCCGCCTTCGAGCTGGACTTGCGTTGCGGTCCCCACGTGGGGTTTGAGGGAGTGACTGGCCATCGGGTCAGCCAATCTCCCAGGTATGGGAATGCAGACATCCATAACAATTTTTTTGGGGCTGATATATGTCAGTGACAGAAATTAGGCACTCTAAAACCAGCCCCGTATGTGAGCTCACATAGGATGTGTCGAGGGAGCCTACCAACAGGGGAATTATGGGAAAAAAACTTCAGAAGTGCACTTTGCCACACAGGTTTGAGAATGAATGCCCATAAATTCCGAGAAAATTTCCCATTCCAAACCACGCTGATGCTTCCCTCCTCCCACGTGGCCAGGTCGTGTGCCAGTCCCACAAAAACATGGTCTAGCGAGCATCCTGCTCATCCGGCATCCACTGCCTGTGAGCCCAACTTTAGCAATCTGGCATCCTGGCGACTGCGGAAACTGCCCGGTTTCCCGAGCGAAAACCAGGAACGGGGTGTCCCCCAGGCGTGAACGCGCTGTTTCCGCTCATCCACGCGCCCGGAACGTCCCCAGCAGCGACCCCGCAAGCGCAATGCAGGCGGCCATCAACTCTCGCTCCACATTCCAGTCAACGTGTGACGGCACTGCTTGCACATGCCCCCCCCCTCGTCATGTCACCACATTGTCACTTTCACCCCGCGCTTAGCTCCGTCATCCTACAAGCACTGTCAGTCCCTCTTTCTGGCCAAGGCTCCGCGAATGTACAGGGAACCGCTTGGGAGGACACACCACGCCCAAGGCGGCCAACCCGCACCAGCCGCCTCCCCTTCCCCTCGACAGCCAGCCTGCCCCACTGAGGTCCCTAAAGGGCGGGACTCGCAAGCAGCGGGCCTCCCGCCCGGGAGATGGGCCGGCAGCCCCACTGGGCGCCCGCGCTGATCGCCGCCCTACTCTGCCTTCGCGCGGGAGCGCAGCTCTCCCACGGCGCCGCGCCGCCCGCGTTCCAAGGTGCGCCACCTTCTAATTTCTCGCTCCCCTTCCCCGACCTCCCTCGCCTGGTATCCGGTGGATACCTTGACTTTGATACCGTCCACCCCATCTCAGCCTTGGTCCGCTCCCCGCGGCCACCCAACATGCCGCTCAACCGATCGGTGCGATGCAGCCCAACCCGCTGCCTGATGTCCCTCCTATGTCCGCCCGCCCCCCAAGGCCCCCTCCGAGTATGCCTCTTCCCCGCAAAGCATGTGCCCCCCCCCCCCCCCCCCCCCTCTCTTTTCCAGATTTCCCCTCTCAGGACTTCCGATATTGTTCCGAGTACCGATACACGTGCCTCCAGGCGGGAGGCGCCTCCGGCAGGCGGACCGGGTCGTGTTCGATGACACAAGTGACTCCTCGCTCGAGGACGTGGTAGCGGGCCTGCAGGATGGCCAGACGCTGGTGGTCAATTCGGAGCGGGTTGACTTGACGGCGCCGCTGCAAGTGAACGCGTCCGTGACGGTGACCGGCGCGGGGCAGGGGGCTAGAACGGAGCTGGTTTGCGCGCCGGGGAGCTCTGCGCTGATAGTGAGGTGGGTGACTCTGCGGGGTCCGGCGCCGGAAGGTGGGGCGGCGCGCGTGGCGTGGGCTCTGTTGAATTTTCCCCGCATGAATCGCGCGGCTCTCCTCTGGGGCGTGAGGTGGGACGGGTGCATCGAAATAGGGGTGGAAGGCGGTGGTCGTGCTTCCGGTGCTTTAGTGGGACGCGGGGGGGGAGAAATAATATTACTGCCTGCACCAAATCGATGACTGCTTTGCACCAAGTCACGTGCACACTTTGTCCTAACCTCTGTTTTAGGATAGGTTTAGTTCAGCGTGAGTTTTAGGGTTAGGGTTAGGGTTAGGACAGGTTTAGGTTTTAGGGTTTAGGGTTTAGGTTAGGTTAGTTTTGACGGAATTGGACATGATGTTCACGTGACTTGGTGCAAGCAGTCACCGATTTGATGCAGGGAGTAATTTTATGCCCGGGGTGGGAGGGGCGGGATTCGCAGCGCGCCTGCGTTGGAAATCGAATCGGAGTCATTGAATGCGTCGGCATTCGAAATCGCATGAAGATCGTCCGGCGCCCCTCATTTCCCGACATCAAGGTTGTGAAGGGTGCGAGGGTCATAACAACCTGAGAAAACCGAAAAGCGCAGAGGCCTGACGTGGACTTCATGACCGTCGTGACTGAGTGGTGTCGCACATTTGTGGATCGCATGGGCATTCTGAGCGGCATCTGCAATCAAAATAGCACCAGCAGTATAAAATTGCATCGGCATTGAAAAGGCATCGGGAGTCAAAAGGCATCGGCATTCAGTGTGGTATCGGTCGCATGCAAGATGCGCTGGCGGGCGAATGTGCCACTCATCCAACACCCTGGCAAGGCAAGCAACAGAGTTTGTCTTGGCTAGGCCAACTTGTCTAGGCCTGAAATAGGAATATCATGACATGCAACTGCTGAAATCATGGCCACATTTGTGGCTGAAAGGAAGGCTCAACACAGAACGAGTGCAATATGGTGAGGGACGACTGGGGGTGGTTGGGGAAACAGTGTCCAACTTGACAGGTTGCACGATGCCAAATCGTGTGCCGAGGAGAAAAACGTGCCATCTCCCAACAACAATGGCCCTGAAGCACCTGTGTTAGAGCAAATATCGACTGCCCAATGCAGGAATCGCAGTCGTTCTTGCATCGATTGGCCATCAGCTTGTGCTCTTGTTGTGCTCCTGTTGCATAAAATGTGCGACAGCCTGGGACAGACTGTGCATCCTCCTTTCTCCAAAGATATGCATGTTCTTGTCTCTCAAAAGTTGGAAGCTGTAGAGATGCTAGGTTTCATTGATTTTCAACGGGGCTGCTGGGGCAAAGAAATTGCTCCAGGGGGGAATTTGTATGCTGAACAGAAAGCTGTGCTCTCAGTTTGAATCCATCTGCTTTCTTCACTTGGGTGATGGTATGAGTTGCATTCTGAGTGCCGCAGCCATCGCCACAATGTGACAAATCTCAAAACTACATCCTGCCAGAAAACCCAGGAGGCCATAATGACAACTCCTGAGCTTCAAATTGTCTCATGCAGTCATACACCCACAGGAAGGAACTGGGTACCCGAGCCAGTGTGTTCACGATGTCCAGAATACTGAACTCACAGACTGTCCAGGTGAAGAGAGGGAAGAACACTCAGCCATGCACTTGCTGCCTTTTGCCACACTATAAATCTTCAAAAGATTCAGACCCCAGTCTACGTTTGGGATCTGCATGTACCTTTGCTGCATCTCCATCCATGCACCTCCCTCAAGTGAACCATGGGGCATTACTAGTGTCTTTAGATTGCTAATCGATCCACTCCGTTCATGTTCTGGGGCAGGGGCAATTCCGCATTTGAGGATCTGGCGTTCATCGGCTGTGTCAATGCTTCAGCGGTTGAGATCCTTGACTCTGAGTCCACAACAAATGTGACCTTCCGGAGGGTGTCATTTGAAAACAACGCAGCGAGTGGGGCATCCCTTGAAGAGCCACTTAAAGAAGGAGGAGCAATATTTGCTGGCAGAAACAGCAGTGTGACAATATTGGATTCAACCTTCTTCAACAACTCAGCGTTCGCTGGCGGTGCTGTGTTTGCGGTGGGAGACCTGGAGATTCAAGGATCGACCTTCAATCAATGCAGAGCATCAACTGATGGGGGCGCCATCCAATCAGATCCGCCAATTGGACAGTCCACTTTTCTCAGGGTTGATTCATGCCAGTTCACCCAGAATTCTGCTCTGAATGGGCGGCCAGGCAATGCTCCCACATTGCCAACAGGAGAAGCTGCAGAACGGTTGCAGTTTTCCCGGTTGCCATTTCCAAACAATGGGGGTGGAGCCATTGCCATTCAGGATGCCCTCTCTGTGGAAATCAACAACACCTTGTTCTCCAACAACTCTGCACCAGCAGGGGGAGCTCTCTACATTTCCATGCCACCTATAATTTTTGGTCCTTTAGCCACTGAGAACGCCAAGTATAGTGTCCTCAACTCGGAGTTTGAGAGCAATAGCGCTGTTGGAGCAACCACGGATATCAACCACGGTGGCGCCATCTTTATGAGTAGCCTACGGGGTGTGATGACAGAAGTGGACCTCTTGAATGTCACTTTTGTTGGAGGAACTGCGAACTTTGGGGGTGGTCTACACTTGCTGACTGACAGGTTGACCACTGTGAGAATAACGAAGTGTATGTTTGAAGGCAACAGAGCCACAACGGCAGGTCAGAATTCCCCGAGCTGCTGGATGTTCAGTTCCATTGTGTGGGACCTCGCTAAAGCAGTTTGACCGAATGAACTGTTTAAGTTGTCGCAACTTCTGCTGCATGGAATTGCAACTTCTCACCAGATGTTCAGTCTGTTCTCCAAGGATTGGCCAGCCACATGTTGTGTAGCTGAGAAGCCCTGCATGTTGGATGAAATGCAGCACTTTGTGTGGCACTGCAGGTGGTGCAGTGGTTGCACGCACAGCTACAGAAATGCAATGGATCAGCAGCACAGCTAAGGGAAACAGTGCGCAATTGGGTGGTGGGATCTACTGCACCAATGGAGCTATGATCAGCATTGGCAGTGCGCCAGGCGACACAGAATCCTTGCTGGAGGGAAACACAGCTGTTGATGGGGGTGCCTTCATGAGCTTCGGCTGCCGTACGTGGGGATGGACAGACCGCGATGCTGCCTGCTGTTCTCCCTGCTATTTGTTCTGCCATTGTTGTGTGCAACTTCCACTTGGCTCAAAAAACTCAGAATCGAAAGTGGGGACGTTGTGATGACACCTGCAGACTGGACCAAGGCGCACAGTGTGCAGAGGGGCACTGTATCTTCCCCTGCTGCATCAGCAACACTGTTGCCATAATATCTTATAGCTACAACTGTGCAGCTCCTGCAAAGAAGCCTTAAGCACAAGCATTGTTTTATTATTCCATCCAGTTGAGTTATGTCCAAATAAATCATCCAGTCAGTGATACGCCAGTGGGCTAAATATGCTTCCTTTGAAACCATATGCTACTTCGCGAACACTCACCCAGCTGGTTGATGTGCATGGCCATGTATGTTGTCCGGAGGGTCTGAGTGTCCGCACAGCGCCGTCAAGCCCTTTGCAAGGCAGTGCTTGTAAATGGCCAGAATGGAATCCTTCCTGCGATTGGCAGGGCAGAATGAGATTTTGAACTTCTCTATTAATAACCAGATTTGCCATGTTCCTGGCAGTGTTGAGCAGTGAGGATTTGCTGTGATTGGCACTGTGTCATGATTCATTTTCCTATGTTTTGGCCTCCAGAGAACACTCGCATCGTGGGGGTGAATATCACCAACAATACAGCCATTGACCATGGAGGTGGCCTCCACTTTGTGGACTCGCCCCCTGGGGCTACAACACTGCTCACACAAGTCATGATAGAGAATAATACAGCACTGCGTGGAGGGGCACTGTCCATGGACAGTGTGGTTGTGCTCACTATTGTTTCAAGCACGGTGAAGGACAATCGGGCCGTTGAGGGTGGGGGCATGTTCTTGGTTTTAAAAAATTTGCAAAGGAACACAGTGCAGGTGAGTGTTGTTGACATCCGCTGTTAGCATTTGCACTGAACTGCCGATAGTTAGCAGACAGCTCCAAACTTGTGTTTCCAACAGGTGCCCTGAGCTGTCCAAGGGTTACCACGTGTCATGTCTCGTTGCCCTCATATTTCATATCTTTCATTTCCCTTGCTAAAACTCTTGAGATACTGTTTGTTCAAAGTGCAGGACAAACATATGTATAGTTGCCTTGCACTTATGACCTGCTTTCAACCTAAGATTCTGACTGTTGGCATCCTGTTTTCGTTGCACAACAAGGTTTCGAGGACTGTCATATCCGACAATCAAGCACTGCGGCTATCACAGCTGCAAGGGCGTCTTGATGAACACAACGCAAGGGTTCTTGGTGGAGGACGCTCAGTTGCTGAGCTGTTGGACAATATTGTGGAACCATTGCTGTATTGTGGAGAAGGTGGTGGTGGTGGAATGTGCGGTGTGCTATCGCAGGTCCCGGAGCGTGCAGCAGCAGAAGTGGATTTCATCGATTCTGTGTTTCAGGACAACAGTGCCACCAATGGAGGTGGGAACATGAAATTGTGACTGAGTATGGGCTGTTCATGAGTAGCAATGGACAATTTTGGAGGTGTGACATTGTGGATTCAGAATGGAAGACGACATCCACAATTTGCTGACACAGTGGATTGTCTTGTTTGACAAGGAATACCCGTCGCATAACGATGAAAAACAGCTCGAAAAGTGTTTGTTGTTCTGTAGTTGTGTTCATGTGGACCTGACAACCAACAGAGGTCAAAGGCTATTTCTGTAGCCAAGTCTACTTTGGGCCTTCAAAGCAAGATGGGTTCACTGACAAGTGTATGGAGCAGGTTCTTGTGGCTCAATTGCAACATTCAGCTTGTGTGTACTCTCTCAAGCCCCAAAAATCATTGATTTCCCTTCGATTCTGATAAACACAGTGTTTTGGGGATCGGTGCATCATCGTGTGTAGTGAACTGCTTTGTGCTGCATAATTACACAAAACCAGCACATTCCAGCGCTGCAATGAGAGTTGGGATGCAACATGGATAGTACAGCACACGAAAGTGCACTGAACCATCTCTGGCTTGTCTGTGTGCCAGATTATGTTTGATTTGCTATCAGTGTTTATGAAAGTCATATGGTGAATTGCAGGAGGGTTTTTTGTTAACGTCATTGGGGATGAGTGGAAACGTGGCAACTGCCAGTCGGGTCCCTCCGCAGGAGCCCAGCCAGTACTTTCAGCAGCCATTTGCCGAAACTTCCTGGCTGTCAATGTGACTCTGATAGGAAATTCTGCTGAATGGGGTGGCGGTGGCGCCTTCGTGTCGGATCCCGATTCCTTGTTCGTGAGGTGCGAAGCAATCGACGTCACAGGTGCTGGCAACATGACATTCTCAGATGCAGTGAAAAACATAATCGCAAACCCAGAAATCGACCCAACACAGGCCGGTTGCCTTGGGTTCAAGGGCAACAGTGTTGGTGCACGTGGTTTCGGCAGCATTGCGGGCACCAGAGCGTTCTCTCTGGTTGTCACCACCCCAATGGACCCCATCTCCAATCACACCAGCAGTACAGTCCTGGCAGAGGAGGAAGGGGGCATGGCCGTGACCATATATGATGCTTTTGACCAGAAGATAACAGGAGGTATCCTTGATGCAGGTAGGTGGGTCTTTGGATTATTATTGCCCAGCAGGCAAGGGGATTGCAAGGTGATTGAGAAAGCATGCAAGCGGTGTTTGAGAAGTGAAGTAGTGCGCTTGGAAGCTGATGCAATGGCAATGTGGATTAAAATAATGCGCCAGTGTTAAGTGGATTCGTTAGATAATGCTGACGGTATTCTACCATGAACCTGTGTCTTCAGCTGATGACATGTGCTGGAAAGGAAGGTCGCCTTGTTGGCTACCAGTGTGTGCAAGTTGCTGTACTAGATGGATATCAGATCCCTTGGAACCCCTTTTTGAGGCATACGCTTTGTTGTTATACTAATCTGCTCTCTGAGAGTTTGTATTACATGCAGATACACTGAGTCGTTCCAGAGAGCTGTCTGTATTATTTGAATGGATTGTTCCCAGCTGATGCCATCGACATATGGCGTGATAATAAACGCATGAATTTTCTGCACGCTAAGACATTTGATGTTGACATTGAATGGCTCATCTGGGCAGGTCCCATACCAAGGAGATCCCAATGGCAAGCAATAATTGGATTGTAGTGAAAACCAGGGATCGTTTGGTGCCCAATGAGATGACAAAGGGCTCTGCATCCTTGCAGGCAATCGCCTTGAAACATGGACTGTTGCACATCCCAGTTTTCCATTTGCTCAGGCATTGCGAAATCGACCAGATGGGAATATTCATGCCAATACATTCAGAGATAAGCAATGGCTGCAGTGGTGTGCTACACATTCGCGATATGACCAGGCCCGCAAGCACCACAACAATCGTGAACACATCACTGCCGTATGGTTGTCCTGCTGTTAGTGCACTGATGTTCGTGCATCTGTTGTAAACAGAGAGACCAATCAGAGCCCAGTCTCCATCAATTTTGGGCCAGACGATAGCACAGGCAAAGAACGGCACCGCCGTATTCGAGGAACTAATAGGCTTTGACAGGAGTGGGCAGCACAACCTGAGCTTCCAATCTATCCCCTTGGAGCCAGTCCACACCACCTTTATCATTCGCAACTGCTCCGTTGGAGAGGCGAGTGAGAGCGGGGGGAAAAGCTGCCGTTTGTGTGCAAGGGATTTTTTCACCTTCAGGCCCAATATTTCTTGCCTGCCATGCCCAAGCCAGGCCAACTGCATCGGTGGGGCGGCCCTGACCCCCCTGGAGGGTTATTGGCACTCGACGCCATTCTCGCCCATGTTCCACAGGTGCATCGTCCGCGAGGCGTGCGTCTACGCTAACAGGGGCGAAAACTTGACAAAATTCTTTTCAGACCTGTCGGTTTTGAAGCCCAGCAACGTGCCGCTTTCGAATGAAGAATATCAACAATGCGCCAAGGTCTGTTCTCTCGATTGGAGGTGGTCGTGAATTGTAATGTGTGCCTTGGAAACTGCTTGTTTGCACACCCTGTCGAATTGTCACTGTGGCATCCTGGCTGGCAGCCTTTGGCCGCATTGACAGCCAATTGCAGCTTCCTGATTGCTTCATTTTGTGCAACTCAACGGCATACTTTCATTGGCCAGGGATCTTTCATCGTCATTATTGCTGTTGCTGACATGTTGCCTTGTATTTAGTTTGTTAGGGGGTGAAATAGTGTTTGTGGTCTTCTTAAGAGTAAGGTTGCCCTTTGGCTGCAGGACCTGATTTCAGATAAGCACCGCATTTTTATGGCTGTGCATGCAGGTTCCTGATCGTTGTGACTTGAATTATTGACTGTGCGCCATCACAAAGGGGCCAATCGTTGGAGACGTTGGTCTGGGCAGTACAAGATGCTATACATCCTCATCATTTGACTTGCCCCTCATTCGTTTTCAACAGCTGTGGCTCTGTGCGGAAACAAGCAGAAAGAGAGTCCCTGTTGCTGCCCTTTCCAATTGGCCGAGGTGTAGATTTTCGAAGTACACAGAATGCGCTGGATCGCTGGACGAGCGAGGGACATGCTCTCTCTGGCTTATCAAGCGGGACTCCAATAAGAAAAGCACCATCGTCCATAATGAGGTTCTCACTGTACCCTCTTGCCTTTGCGTTTCTTCTGTGTGGTTTGCCTTCCAGCATTCTTTATTTTCCATGTTGGTGTTGTTTTAGGGATACAAAGGAGTATTGTGCGGCTCATGTGAGGAGGGCTATGGTCACCATGGTAGGCAGGAACGGCAGCGTGCTCATGTCCACTCGGCAATGGGCTGCTGTATTCACAGCATCCTTGGGATGTGTCTGTCGAATGCACAGGGTTGGAATGCCACCGCCTTGGGGGCAATTTGGACACGGTGTGGGGCGGTGTCGTTGTCCCTGGCATGCCGCTTTCATTCCGCAAATTGCTATCACATCTTTGCTGCTTCGATGCAATTGCTGGGGGGTCCACCTGTGCATTTAAGACAATCCTTATTGTGGAATTGCCATTAGTAGCACGATTTTCTAAATTCACCAGCAATGTTGCTCTATAGCAATTTTTCTTATTGACAGTGGTTTTGACAGATATCTTGGTTCTTTGCTCTGTGACTTCCGTTGCGCGTGCAGCACCAAAGTCTTCCAAGATTCGTCCGATGTGAAATGACGGAATGTCTTCCCAATTTGCTTAACAATCTATTGCAGCATTCTTGCATTATGCTTTCACGTTGTACTTCCTGCTATTCTGCTAGTATCCTCGAAGAACCTGCTTCCAGCAATTCTCAATCGCGATTGTTATAGCACTGGCGCTGTCACAGATGGTCACGTCAAAAAGGAAACTGCAGCGGCAAGCGTGACTTCCCACGTTTATTTTCCATCCAGACTTCACTCTTCAAATTGAACTCAGTGGCCTGTGACTGAGCTTTGCTTCCTGCCTCTGTTGCAGGGGGTGGCGAGTGTGAGGAGTGCAAGACAAGCCAGGCTGGCACCACTGGCCTTATCTTCTTGTTCGCTCTCTGGTCGCTGGTGCTCGTCACCCTGGAGGTGATCAATGCCATCACGACGAACAGGGAGATGGCCTCCGTGGGGGATTCATCCTTAAAAGCTCCGAGAGAGGAAATGCCACCATTCCCGCCAGCGGGCTTCCCACAAAATGGAGGTGGCCAGGCGGGGGGCTTCAATGGTGAGTGGACAGAAAACTTGAGCAAACACAGTCCAAACTGTTGGTTTTGCTCTCTTGCCCTAAGGGCTTAGCAACGAAGATAGCTGCGGCAGATCGCAGCACTTCAGCATTGAGCACACATCACATTTGCATTTTCATAGTGTGAGCTGGTCCACGCCGGGCGCGTCCATCGCTTGGACCACAATGCACAGCCTTCGGGATATGCATTTCATACTACCGTGCACCGGTGCTGATTCAATGTGACATACGCCATTTTTGACGTTGGCATCCTCATTGTTTGGCCTGTTTTCTCTATGTTTGAAACAAATTTTGCAAAGACGCCTCAAGGATATGCCATCTCTGCATGATGACTGGCAACCTCTGGAAACCGTGTTTTGTATGACATTAAGATGCCAGCCAACATCCAAATCGTGTGATGCACAGCAGCTTACTGCGTTCTGTTGATGAGTAAAGGCACACTTCTGCCAAGATCATCAGGCCGCTTTGATGACTATATGCGGACCATTGCACATCGAAAGTCGTGACGCTGTTGCACAATTTTTGCCAGTACAACCACACTTTTGCACTCTTGCAAACAATGCTGATTGAGGTCGGCGCTCTTTCAACCTTTCACGACGAGACATGTCTGGAACCGCGAACAGGGACGCCCCGGCACGAGAACGCGAATTCTCCGCTTCCTCGGCCCATGGCTCAGACTTCGAGCATAAATCTTCGGCTGGATCCCAATTATAAGGGAAACAGCACGTTCCTCCGGGCCGTGGACGAAAACGACAGCCTCCTCCACTTCGTAGAAATCGAGGACCGATACTTGCCAGAGCACGTTCTTGCACAGGAAGATTTGACAGAGACTTTGAAAGTGAGTGCTCCAGACCGAAGATGTGCGTGCGCTGTATGGAAATGGCGCATTGTTGTCTGGCGCTCGCGATGTTTGTGCGGGCTCGCGGCCAAGAATCCAGATCAACACTGTGACCGACGGCCGTCGGTGCTGGGGCAACCGAGCCAGCAGCTGGCATTGACTGGAGTTAACGCTGCACGTGATTTTCACTCTCTGCAAGGAGACCCCACATTGAAGTTTCCCCTTCAGCTGGGTTTTAGTTGCGCTGTGCTTCGAAGTGTCATTGCGAAGGTGGTTTGGGCGGGCAGCCATTACGGCCCAGATTTTCCCCACCTGCACTGCATCGCCCGTGGCTGGAAGTGCTCCATGTTTCCTGTGCTTTTGCAAATATTCTTTGACCCTTTACATATAACCACGCAGGAGAAACGACCGAGATTCCGCAGCAGGGCTCGACACTTTAGTGTGGGTGCAATGCTAGCGGTTTTAGGCGCACCAGCTGGGTTTGACATCTGGCATTGTGTGTAGCTCGCGTTTTCTGCTGCCGGCAGAAGCCAGTCAGACAGATTAGTTAATGTTGAAACCGCACAGTCCCGCCAAGGTTTCTTGCGTGCGTTGCGGATGCGCACGCTCTGACGCCGGTGTGTTTCATCAGATCATGGTGAACTTCCTCCAGGTCACATCAGTGGCCGTTTCCATCAACGTCGGCTGGGTCCGAGTGGTTGAAATCCTGCTGTCGATCGAAGGTGCGCCAGGCTGACAGGCACGACGCTTTTCGATTGTTGTGGTCGGTGGCCGTCTGTACCGAGGCCACGTGCGGAAGGGTGATTTCGGGACTAACTCTGACTGCACCCTAGACTCCGTAACCAGAACCCAAGGGAAGACACCTTTTTGAACTTGGTGTGCTTAGCTTCAAATGGACGCTATTAACAGGGACCTACCCACCCCACCCCACCCTCCTCCTCCTAGAGGGTGTTGGGGGGCGCACCATTTGATTTTGGTGCCGTTAGCCTTCATTGGGACACGAAGATCTTGGCGTCCATCGAATGCTGACCGTACCAAAATCAAAACGTGTCTTCCCTAGCAAGGACTGCAGTTTCAGCGAGAGACCGCAGGGCCAATGCACTGTCCCACTTGTGCGCACTGCTGACGATTAACCTTCCTGGATTCCAGAGCTGCTGGCGGGTCTCTCAAACGGTGCGGAGCTTGTCCCGCTGGACTGCGCCCTGGAGGACGGGTCCGAGACTCCCAAGTCCGTCCGGGCGGTGTGGCTGAGGATCATGTTTCCGGTCATCCTCCTGGTTCTGCACTCCTTGTTCGTCATAATGTTCTGGGCCACCCGCCAGGTGCAGAACAAGAGGCGGGGCCAAGGGGCGGACACGGCCTCTCTGGTCACCACCCTGACCGTCGTGACCATCACGGTTGTGTTCTTCGCCTACAACAGCGTCACCGAAGAGCTCATGAGGACGGTGAACTGCATTGATGTGGACAGCAAAGACAGCACGGAAACGTTTTCCGAGTACGCAGCTGCCACGAGGGGCATGTACTGGGCGGAGGACACTGCACTTATCTGCTTCGAGGGCAAGCACCTGGCGACGGCGATCATGGGGATCATCTTCCTGATCCTGTTCTCGCTGGGCTTCATAGTCTTCATCGTCTGGTGGCTGTGGCTCAACCAGGACGAGCTGGACAGGCTGCGCAACATCACGAGGTACGGGTTCATCTTCCGGGCGTACCGCAAGGGGGGCCGCACGTCGTACGACAGGGCCCACGGGTCCGGCAGGCGCAGGATGCTGCCCAACAGCAGCGTGGACTCGGATGTGGTTGCTCACAAGGAGATAGTCGACCACCGGATCATTCTGCGGCTCAGGAAGCTCACGGTGTACTGGGAGGCGGTCATCACCATGCGCAAGGCCATGATCAGCGCGGCCGTGGTGTTCGCCTACAAGCTGGGTGGCAACCTGCAGGGCATCCTGGCCCTGGGCGTGCTGGTGCTGGCGCTGGCCGTGCAGCTGCTGTTCAAGCCGTACAGGAAGTTCCCGTGCTTCAACACCCGGCGGGGCCTGAGGGCGCAGCAGCCCACGGTGCACGACAGGGTGGACCTCAACCACCTCGAATCCTTCTCCATTTTTGCGTCCATAGTGACGTTCTACGCGGGGGTGGTCTTCAACGACGAGAACACCACCGAAGGTGGGACGGTGGTCATGACGGTGTTTGTCCTGTTTGTCAACATTGTGCTGCTGGTGTACTTCCTGTGGCGCATGTACGAGGGCACGCACGTCATGCTGGACCTCAAGCTGAAGGACCACGGCTGGGGCAGCAGCCCATTCCTGGTCAGGAAGCTGTGGATGTGGTTCAGGGCGGTGCAGAAGAAGAGGGCGCAGCAGCGGCGAGGGGGGGACATGCAGATGGTCAGCGTCGACACGTCGGCTGCGGGCAACAGCTTGGACGCACCGTCGCCCAGCGGGCAGGGGAGGCCCAGGCGAGTGCTGTTGCTGGGGGCCTACCACCAAACCAGCGAGGCGATTTAGCGCAGATTTAAAGTAGACACAGCAGTCGGGCGGAATTCGGCCCCATTTTTGTTTGTGGCCTTGGCTGCAGATATGTCTGCGCCAAAGTGACCCGGGCCCGCGCCAGCTCGGGAGGTTTAGAGGCGACGAGCGCGGAGACCGTAGCTCGAACAATACTCGACGATTTCGGGGATGTTAATTTCTCGTATCAGCGACCGTAGGTAGTAGGTTCATTTTGTGCGTTTGGTGAATGTCTCGTGCAGCGGCATACAAAGGAGACGCCTTCGGGGCGCGACTGGATGCACCGACTGCCTGAGGCTGAAGGGTCTGGCGCGGAGGTTGACACCGCACCAGGTGCACAGGGTATGGGCTGAAGTATACCCCAATATATCACTAATAAGAAATGGATGCACTAGCAGAGAATCGGCTCAGTAATGGCTCGAGCTTTTTCTGCGAACAGCACAAGCCATTAAAATGTGGGGCAACGAACCCCACCACCCACCCACCCACTTTTTCTGGTGCCGCATCCGAGGCTTGTTGTTTATGTTTACGTTCTTACGTTGATGTTCTTACGTTTATGTTCTTACGTTTGCGTTTTTACGTTTAATTTATGCGTACAAACGTACATTTGCAAAAGAGGCTATTTTTATGGCTGTTTTTACATTTTTTGGCTTGTTGTGACACCGAGGTTACACGATGGAAGTTGCGTACAGTGATCAGTACTCCGCCCCATTGAGCGCCCGCAACACAGCGTCCACTTCGCACTCGCCAAGGGCCACGATGGAATGGAACAAAATTCCTTTTCTGCCCATTCCAGTGCGTCTGGATGCTATTCCCCGGAGTCCCGAAGGCCGTATGTACTGTCGTTCTGTACATGGGGCTGTTTTCACGTTGTATTACGTATTTTACTCGTTTTTATGCGTAAAAACGTAAAAACAATTGTCCCGTGTAAAAACGTAAATGTGATCTGTGTTTACGGCGTAAATAACAAGCTTGCCGCATCCCCTTGGGCATTCGCCCGAGCGCAACTCGGGTCCCCAGTTATGTGTAAACGGCAAAACAATGGCGATTTCATGTAAATGACACCCGCGTTGGAATCACGCTGCATTTTCGAAAACTTCGAAAATTTGCGGAAAATTGTTTCGAAAATTTTCGAAAATTTTCGAAAAATTGATTTTTCTCAAAATTTCATGCCGATAGTGAAACTGCGTCCGCGATGGACCGTGCCCTGCAATCCCAGCGGCGTTTTCGGCGCCATCGCTCAACGCGTACCGCTCTCCTCTTGCCATCAAAACAGCGCACCCGCACTCACGAACACACACATTGAAAAGTGGCCCCAGGGCACTGAATGCCGCCAGACTCGGGCATTCGATCGGCATGAAAATCGATGGTAATATCCACGGATGTTTTGGATTATTGTGGATAAGTTCGGGCACAGGCCAGATGCCAAGGTCGTCAGCGATCCACAGCCATGCGATGAAGAGGATCCAGACGCAAAAGCCCTACGGGGCGAGCCACATTCAGATCACGCCAAACCCTGAGACTCTGACCGCCGCCTCAATTCTACCTGCAGCTGCCATTCGCCGCGCAGCGGGTGGAGCTCATCCCAACTACTGCATGTGGTGTGATGCACCGATACACCGCACTGGCATAATGGCCTGCACGCGCAACTAACGCAGCCAGCACTGTGATCAAACGCGCCCGCCTACAGCTGCAGTCGCGACAGCAGACAACCAAAACTCCGCCCAGCCAGACCGACCTCATGCGGTTGGAATTGTCGTCCTCTACATCAACAGGCGCTCGCGAACATGCCCACGTCATCTCATGGCCCCTGCACGCAGCACATCGACCATGTCGTACACCCTCTGCTCGGCGCCGTCCTGAATCTTCTTCGCCAGGAAGCGGCACGCATCCACTGTGCCCTCCCCGTAGATGCTCCTGCCAACGACGTTGTGCTGGAACTCGAAGTTCACGCTGCCCTCGGGCGACACTAGGTGGTACGTGTGGAAGGCGTGGCCAGCCAGAGCGCCCTCAGGAACGCCCATCTTGCTGACCTGCTCCCCAGGATCCCGGACTTTTTCGACTTGCGACTGGCAGCCAAAACAGGCGAGTCAATTGCGCTGAAGTGACTAAACTCCGACAGCTGCCTGTTGGCGGTTGTCTGCTCTGTTGCAACGAGCCCATAGCAGGGCGCATGACTGATGGGATGGATGTTCAACCTCCCAGGCGGGACATCAGTGTTCAGCGCATTTCTTCAACGGTGGCGTTGTTCTGCTTTTGCTGAGTTTTGCAAATTCACCAAAATTCATTCGGCCCACCCAACTTCGATGGGGCAAATGCATTTGCTTTCCAGGATTTCATTTCGTGCGTTGGAGCCAGGGCCCTCGGCGATCGAGCTGGCTCTGGCTGGATGTTGCATGCAGGTCCAAACACCGTTCGAAATAGTTTGTGGATGGAGTTTGCCCATGGGACAGATACAACATATTTCTGGCGCTGCAATTCTCTGTAGTCCGATCAGAACCAAAATTCTGGCAAAGCTGTGCAAGGAAAAGTCCTACAGAAGACACAGCAGATGGCTCATGCCATCTTCATGCGATCAATCTACTAAGCTTCGCACCAGCTTGTATATTCTTGTTAGCTGCACAAGGCCCACATCTTCCCTGTTAGGATGGGAGTGACTGTTGGCTGCTATGCCACAGTCTTGAAAAACGGAGAAAAAGTTTAACCACAGGGCCTCTTCTATACACCTCATCTCACCACGTCAAAGTCCAACCCCAGGCGTTGGAACGAATCCACAACCGCCTTTGCCGTCCCCGAGGTGTCAACCTTCGTCTTCTGGTGGGACTCAGTGACCGTGAGGGTGTAGCCAGAAAAAGCGCCCGGAAAATTCTCCGCCATCATCTCCATCATGGCTTGGAAGGCAACAACCTACAAGACTGAAGTGAGCTCAACGTCAAAAAGGGGAGAAAATGTTTGTTCTGTGCAGTGAAACTAGTCTAAAGTACAACATACAATATACAGGCGTACAGCGGCAACTGGCAAGTAAAATAGACTGACCCGTAGCCAGCCGTGGGCTTGCACCTACAAACCGACGACAGGCATACCTCGATTAACAATGCCTGTTCAAGAGTGTTTATTGTAACAGCCATGAAGGGATGGTTCATCACGATGGACAGTATCTGCCAAAACAGATTAAGCCACACAGAGCCGAGAGCAACAAGCAAAAGGCAAGAAAACAATGTTGGGTGGGCATCTACTCTATAGTGCACCAGCATCCTCATCAAATACCAACAAAAGCACAAAAGTCATAAAGTTCTAGAAGCAATAGAAATACAGGTTGCCAACACTAAAACTCCCAGTTCCATAGCTGGCAGGACAAGTACTTAAGAAAGATAAGGACACAGGTGGATATCAAAAATGTGATGCAGGCAGGCCAACAACACAACAGCCCAATGGAATCCCTTTGCCCAGTTCGCTAACACAGTGACAACGCCGTGTCAATTTGTGGCAGCCTGTCTTCCACCTGTTTGCCCATGTTGGGTGCAATGAGCGCATACACCCCAGACTGAACAACATCTTCCATAAGCTTCTGCCGATCGCCGCCTGTTGTGCCCATCACAAATGGAATTCCCAGACTAGTATACAGCAGCGCATTTCCTGGATTGCAGCACATGAAGGCAAGAAATCAGACAGCTCGATGCTCCCATTGAATTGCAACATGCACACACTATGATATGCACACACACAGAACTGCAAAGCAGAAAACGGCCCAGCATATACCTGCCAGGAGTGGTGCTCCAAAGCCTGGTATGCTCTCCGGATCTTATGTGCATCCCATTATGCGCAGCCCTGGCCTGAAACACTACAGCTGCTTGTGGGGAACCATCGAGACAGGCAACGGCTGTGCTGTGGCTTACGAGTCTGATTTCGGTTGTCTTTGTGGCAAACACGAGCACCATGCCAAATGACAAGGGCAAAGTTGCATTAAGCATTGGAGTTCATTGTGTGTACAGTTGTTATCACAAGGTTTGAGATGTTCACAAGAAATCCACTTGCAATGACCACATGCAGCTGCCCGGAAGCCCTCACAAGGCCAAAACCGCTGAGCTGCACAACATGAGCAGATCTCAAAAAGCTTTGCATGAACAAGTTTCAGTCATACCGCAGTAGTACCTATGGCACGCAATACACGAAATTTTTGGTCTCGGGAGGGGTGTACGCATCCTGCACTTTCCCCTAAAGCACAAAACTACGACCTTGGGACGGGTGATATTGCACACGTGGCGTCCCATACCCCTTCGTACTCGTCCGGTACAGGCCTTGGCCCAGAATGCAATATCATCCCCAGGCATATCAAGCCCCATGTCTCTGCCACAAAAGGATATGCTACAGCCCAGAGTCTCTGAAACGCAATCTTTAGTGCTTCCTACGATTGAGCGCACACAGTCAAACATGGACACAGCACAAGCCGCTTGCAATGGTGCGCACTGCACCCTACAACACAGCCACAATAGCTGCCATATACGGATGCAAGTGGAGCCTTCTTGCTAGCAAGCAAGGTAGCCGAACCCACCGCCCCCCCCCACCACCACCAACCCACCACCAACCCCTGCCCTAACGTTGGTGCATTTAACCTGGCTTCAGCCTTTTACCACGTCATCTTCCACAGCATAGAAACAACGCCTCACAGTTTGTCTTGCTTGGCAATTGTATCAAAAAATCATGTTCTTGCACTGCGATGAATCTTTGCAAACCATTTGGCCCATATTGGTACGAGTTTTTCATACCCAGTGCCAATGATGATGCAGATATCCCTGAGTGGACAGCAATGAGTGCTAATGTTCTTTGGCATTTCGAAGGAGAAACAGTGTCGCACGTTGCGCATCCGGTGCAGAAAGCACCAAGTCAGCTTTACCAGTTCTGTGCTATATACGTAAAGTGTTCTGGAGGGCGAGAGAGTGTGTGCTTTATGGACAGAGCTGTGCCCAGCCAGTATTTGACACAGCACAGAGTTGACATCACTCAGTGAGAGTGCCCCCAATGTGCACCCTACTGAGCTCGAAACTGCTGGCACATGGGCCAGTTGGCACTTGCTAGGCATCTCCACACTGAACTCACTGAGACCAAGGGAATGAGAACAAGCAATCCATCCAGGCACAAATTCGTGCTTCCGAGCAGCGCTCCACGTCATGCTATGGACACAACAACTGATGCTTGACTTGTTCTTGAGAAATCACAATGCAAAGGCAAACACAACTGTACCCAGTTCGAAGCAAAGAACTTTGGGGACATAAACACATGGGATGAGTGCTCAAATTTTGCTGGCAAAGGGGGTTGGCATTCTGAGACATTCACTTAGTACATGCGGGATCCGTTCTGTTGGAATACATTTGAGTACATGTTGCGGGACACCCTGAGTGCATGTTTGTTGCAATGAGCGATGCTTGCTGTAGTGTTTTCATACACTGAGCAGAGACTCTGTACATCCATTACAGTATGGGAAAAGTCCCAATCTTCTTGCTCAGGAGGGGGGTGCCTGTTGTAAGACATGCACTTTGTGCTTCTGACAATGAATCCTTCATTGGCTTCCCATTCCTTGTACCTGGGCAACCTACACCAAAGGCATGCACACCAAGCGCATACAGCACTGTAGTCAAAAGGCAGTTCTTACCATTTACAGCTGAGGGGAGAGTGAAGTCCACGATGATGAGAGAGGGGTTGTCATCCTTGAGTTTCAAAAGCACATCCTCCTTCTCTTCATTCCCTACAAGGTTGACCGGAACCGCAGACACCCCAACAACGTTTCCCTTCGTCTTTTCGAGGGGCTCTCCAGTCACTGTGTAAGGGACTAGCTGCACCCCTCTGCCATGAACGACCGCTTCTGCTGCCGCGTGCCCCATCTGCAAACAGGAGGCATCCAAGTCTTATGCACTGATGTACATTCTGATTGTCGAGATTGTGAAGCTGCACATGGGCTGCTAGAAACCTGATCCTGTCCGACGAATTGAGTTCAGTAGAGACACATGACAAGGCCAGCATGTCACATTTTCACATTGCCTTTAAGGAACATTCATTCATTTTGTGCCTGCTGCCCTGTGCTGTGCATTCCCCTGCTGCACTCAGAGAATTCTGCAACTGCTTCCATGATTGGAGAAGATTCTTGCAAGCAAATTTTGAAAAGGAAAGGGGTAAGTGGAGGGCATGACGTGTTGCCATTGTTGTAGCATTCTTCCAAACTGCGTGGATGCATTTTACTGCACTCAACCATATGAGGCAGAGCAGTGCCGAATATCTCCTCTTTGAGATTGAGCAATCATTTAGATGCGACCACCATTTGGGGCTTCACGTCTCTTTGCACTCTCTTGCTAGGTGGCACAAGGCTCACATATCTTGTGTTAGAATGGGGTGGCACTTGCACTCTGAATTGTGATGTGATAGTGCGGAAGCGAAAGAAATTGGGAAAGCAGTGTGTTTGTAGCTTCCAGCGGAAGTCAGGAAATGCTGCCTATGAGTTGGGGGCACTGGTGCCTTGCCTTCTGATTCACCATGTTCAACCATCTTTCCAGTCGCTTGGAATATTATCCATTCGCGATAGCTGATGGCAATGCATGGCTATTACGCTTTCAGAGTAGGTGGCCGCCTGTGGACCATACAGGTGGCTGACGGAGGTGGCAAAGTCGATGGAAATGTGTAAAAATCTCTTCACATGACCAGGCAATATCAAGCAATAGAATGTCAGGGTACAATGCTCAACATTCACTTGCAGCCTGTGGACGTGCTGAGGCAAAGTCAAAATGGCCGTTAGACCGTCGGCTGCCTGACAATACGATACTGCGCCACGAATCAAAGTCAGAAAGCCACCAACCAGCCCAGCTTGGGCGCGCGTGTGCCGCCGGCGGCGACAAGCATCAGAGTCGCTGGTCGCGCAGGAAACCACAAACACGGCTCGCGGGGGACCCCTTTTCCCTCCCTAACCAGACACTGCCTGCCAGGCGCAAGGCCGGCGCTTTTGCAGTGCATTTCGTCGTCGAACGTCACCCCCGCCGACAGACACGACAAAGCGGCCCCTCAATTTAGCGCCCGGGTCGGGGTGGGGGTGGGGGTGGGCCACCTTTCCAGTGCAGCTGTTGACCATGATCGCCAGGTCATCGCCATTGGCCGCCGCGGACGCCAGCGGACGTCGCTGTCCCCGACGCTGCCACCGCCGTGGGCGACCGCGCAGCGGCGCCCAATCGCATCGCCCTTCCGACAGGCGGCTGCCTCCGCCGCGCGCCAAGGCGCCCGACTTTTGCATTGCGGCGCCAAACGGCCGCCGCACGCCGCTGCGAAGGGAAGCACCTGGGCAACCGGGTCGACAGTTGAAAAGTCTTTCCGCTGAAGTGGACAGTGTCGCTATGAAACACACAGCCCCCAGCGCATCGGTCATCAACGGCTATCAGTACCGTACTTGCCCGACGTTGGCGTCCGTGGACCGGACCAAAGCGAAGCGATGCATGCTATTGGTAACATCCTCGTCGTCATTCATTTTCACATGCTATTGGTTTTTAAACCCTTCCGCATAGTAACGTAACGCTGGGCCCTCTTGCGCGGAGTCGGTGAATAAAAAGTTAGCGGTGCTGGAGGGAAATGTGGAGCAGCAGAATTTGGTAACGTTCTGGGCACGGCTTCAAGCCGAGCTGGCCCCGAATCCCGTGCGACACGATGCGGAGCAAAAAATTTAACGTAGATGGTCCGGGACGAAAATGCGCAGCAAAAACGTGACGGTGGGGTTGGCATTGAGGCAGTAGTATCCAACAACAACGTAGCAACGACGTTAAACGTGGTTTCGATCCCCAGAGGCATGAATGAGCTACTAACACGGTTTCGACACCAATGCAGGGTACTCGAGGCATATTCATTCCAGGCGTTAATTGCAGTTTAAGAGTGATCGTTGGGAGATGAGGCTTAGCGATGGCGATGGCAATGGGCATTCTGTGGGGGCACCTGTGGCAGAAGAGGTCCCTGGCAGCCGTTCACTTGGCAGCTTCTGGACTCGTTGGTCCGCAGACTGCGCTTCAACTTGGGGCAAATAACCGGGAAATCCCGAGTGCACTTACAAGGAGAGCCAAGGCTTAGTTTCAGAAGGGCAACCTTGGCGGGATATACTTGGTAGGCGGAAAAGCTCCCGCACCTAATGAGGGCCCAACGGCCGCCGCCCGTCTTGTCTGCTCCCTCCAGGCCATCCCTTGCAGTTGGAGTCGAGTTGTGGAGATGGAAAGCACAAAGTACTGGTTTTGGCTCTACGGCTTTAAGTCTCGAAGCACAAGGCAAATTGAGATGAGGATCATGGTCTTTCTTTTGGAACGGAAGGCGACAGACTCCAGGGATAGACCCTACAGTTACGTTTTCCAGTGTGTGATTGGGCGGTCCCGTCAAATAGGAACAAATTGAATCATGTCAAATAGTTTTTTGAATTTCCAGGACCGCTTCCCCCCCTGGAGTTCCGCATTTCCCGCCCACAACCCAGTACCTCTCAAAACTTTTCTTCGATTATTTTGCACCAGGAAGGTTCGCTCACTGGAGGGTAGTCATTTCCGTCTCTCAAAACTGACCTTGCCGCCAACCATAAGGTTGCCGCCAACATTAAGCTTGGTGTTCCCCTACCAAAGTTCGAGACACAAATTCCACCGGATGAAATATAAAGACTGGTGGGAAAAGCTGCGGACACGCTCAGTTTGCGCTCCTCTCCATTCCCCAGAATACAATCCATGACTTTCCGCAGTCCAGTCGCTTCGGCCGGCACTCGGTGGACGATGGTTGTTGGGCGTCCCTCGTGTCTTTTCCATGAAGATCCACTCTTCTTCCGCTGGCAAGGCCAACGCCGGTCAGTGGGCCAGTGGTTTTATGGTTTAGAGCGTCCGAGACAAGAAGGGATCTTCGCGGAAAAGACAGAGCGAATAATTGGGTGCCAGCGTGGGGCTGTTGACTTGTCCACCAACAAGGAAAATCTTGTGAAGAGGCGCGACAAGGAAGTTCGTCCCAGCCTACTCACCTTCCCCTCCAGCGGGCCAGCCCCCTTCCCGGTGCACCACAGCGCACCAACAGCTGCCGCTCCCGCAATCCGCCCCAATCGGCCAACCTAATTCCCACCAAACATTTCCCCCTCACTGTCCCATCCAGAGTAATTTCCGAGATAAGGCCCCTCGGCGCCCTCTCCCCCCCCCCCTCCGCTGATGGCGCGCCGCGAGGACAACGGCGCCGGGCGTGGAGCGGCGCCCCTGGCCTGCCTGCTGCTCTGCATCCTGTGGACGATTCCCTGCGCGGCTGTCGCTGGCTTTACCGCAGGTGGGTGAAAAGACAGTCCTGGAAAACACCGCCCCGCGCGCCACACCCCGCGGTTGGTTCTTCCTTTCCCGGGCGTCGCTTCTCAAGGCTGCCAGAGCATCGGCTCGAAGGCCGGGCAGCTCATCTCCGTGCTGGTGCAGCGCCCGCGTTCGGGAGGGGTCCGTGCCCGCGTCGCTCCGGGAAACTTCAGAGAGCGCCTGTCATTGCCGGCCATTGGCCGTATGACTGACGGGCCGGCGCGGTGGGCGCTGGCGGATGGCTGGCCGCGGCCCGGCGGCATGGGAGGAGGGCGGGATGCCCCTGCTTGGCCGGCGGCTAAAGCCGGAGCCGCGCATCCGGGATCTCGTGCGGGAGGCGTGGCGCGTGAAGGGTGACCTCATTGTGTGGCGTCACTCCCCGCGGAACTGTAAGAATGAGGGGACGAATTTTCTCTCCCGGCGGGCTGGTGCCCCCCCCGTGGATGTTTTAGGCAAGATAAATGCGGCGATGCGGATTCAATCGCCATATGAAGCGGCGGCCGGTGTGGGTTAGCGTGGGTGGGCGCGGCGCGGTTCCCACGTTTGCCGCGCCTGACGCTGCCCGCCCATCGTCGCAGGAACGCGCCCCGGGCGAACCCTGCTGCAGGCCGGAGACGGCGGCAATGGCACGCTGGTGTTCGACGGCGCCGACGGCGCGTCGGTAAATGAGACCGCCGGGCAGCTGGGGGATGGCCAGACGCTGGTGCTGGAGGTGCCCAGCGTGGCGCTGGAGGGCCCGCTGGCGATCGGCGGCGAGGACTTGACGCTCAGCGGCCGGCGGGGCGGCGGGGCGAGGACGGAGGTAACCTGCGCGGCGGGCCAGCCCGGTCTGGTCATCAGGTGGGGCGGCGAGAATCGCGGTTGGGGGAGGGAGGGGAGGGGGTGGGGTGTGGGGCTGGGAGCCGCCATGACTGCGGCACACGTGAGGCAGGGGGTGATGGACCAATCGGGGCGGGCCTCGGGGCGCTGGGTCCGACCTGCTTACGTTATGCATGGGGGTGTGCCCATGTGGATCGTTGCCTTTCCTGGCAGTGCCCAGCTTTTCCTGTATCGGACTTCTTCTGCTCCATTTTAATTGTCCTCCATGGTCTGGGGTCCTTATTTGTCCGTTAGCAAGACTTCAGTTTCTGGCGAATTTTGCTCTGAGCCGTGCCCGTGGGTTTGGAGCATACAGTTTCTAACCGTGTGCTCCAAACCCATGGGCGCGACTTTGAGCAGAGTTTCGCTGGAAATTGAAGTCAGTCCGTTAAGTATTGCGGATCTGGCAGCGTTTGGTAGCAAGGATCTGTTACTTAGTAAACAGCGAATTTTTGGCTCAAAAAGGAGGAAATTGATGTTTTGCCCGACCCCACAAAGGTATGGGCTTAACTTTTCTTCTTGAAAATGGTAGTTTAAGTGTTGTGGGACCCAAACTTTCTGATCCTAACATCCTTTTACAGCAGATAGGCTGTTGTTGTAACGAAGTTTACTGTTCACATAGAGGACAATTAATATGTGACAGGGGAATGTATCCAGTCCGGGTGGTCAATTCGGTGAATTGTTGGAAGCGGGAAGGGAACGGTTGTGTGTGGGAGGGTGGGGTTCGGAATGAGTGGAGTCTGGCGTGTCTGATCGCGAGGGCAATAGTGTGGAGCCGGTTCAATGTCGGAGTCGGGGAATGTTAGCGAGTTGGGGCTGGAATTGGAGCTGTGGTGCAGCGTTGCGAGGTGTGACATCCTGTGTGGGGAGTGTTGGAGAAATTGAACACAGAAATTCCTGAATCATTGAAATTGCAAGTCTTGGCAATGTTTTCACTGCCTGCAGCAAAATGGCTGTAACTGGCAACAGCCCATATGTCCAATATTTTGTGCTCCTACTTTTCGCTTTATTGCCGAGTGGACTGCATGCAGCAATTGCCTTGGCAATTGCTGTCCCATGAGAATGGTGATTGCATCCTTTTTTGCTTGGATCTGTGCAGCCTGTTGCCACTCTCTGAAGTTTGCACTCTCTACTGGTGCACTGACGTGGACATTTCTGTGCACTGTAGCGGAAAAGTGACGATCAGGGATCTGTCAATCATCGATTGCACCATTTCTTCCAGCCTGGTTTTGGCACAGTCAGAGGTGGTGTTCCAAAACGTGCGATTTAAAGACAACAAAATGGCTGATTTTTTGCCACCAGAGTTGGAACAAGGGTTCTTGGACTTTGGTGGATCTGGAGGCGGTGGTGCCATTCGTGCAGATGTAAACACAACAGTGACGGTGGTGGATTCACAATTCATAGCGAATGAGGCCTCACAAGGTGGGGCTATTTACACAGCAGGGTCTCTCTTTGTGAATGGCTCAACTTTCAGAAGGAACGTTGCCACAGCCTCTGGAGGAGGTGCCATCAAGTCGAATGCTGATGCTGCCAACCTTCAGGCCTTGCAACAAAGTCAGGTGTCGCCCGGTGTTGCATCCAACGAGTTTGTGATCCGGGGTTGCGTGTTTGAGAAAAACAACGCCCCAAGAGGGATAGAAACAGAGCCTTTTTTTTCGGCATCAGGGGCACCGATTGAGAAGAATGATTTCTTTGGCGCTTTTGGCAGCCCGTCCCCATCGGGTGGTGCTGTTCTCGTTTGGGATGTGGGTAGAGTTCAGATCGAGGACTGCAGCTTTGAGAAAAACACAGCAACCACTGGCGGAGCCATTTATTTCATTGTGAGGGACCTGGCCTTGCCGATTGGAGCACAGCTTGTGCACCGGGTTGAGAATTGCACCTTCAGTGACAACACAGCAGACTTGATGGAAGGGCCGTTGGATGCAAGGATAAACCATGGGGGTGCAATGTTTGTGGTGTCCTTGGACAAAGAGATAAGGCCCCAGTTAGTGGACTGTCAGTTCATATCGAACAAGGCAAATTATGGGGGAGCGTTGCACATTCTGACGTCATCCCAGAGTGCAATGCAAGTGTCTGGCTGTGAGTTTGAAGCAAACCAGGCGGAGACTGCAGGTAGGTACTTGCCCCAATCCCTGACGAGTTCATTAAAATAGTGATGGCAGTACGCCTCTACCCAGCTTGTGCTTCAACAGCACTGTTGGATGTTTGCTACCAATGCTTCATCCTGTTTTCCAGTGTGTTGCCTCCATGTTATGCGTGGGTGAATGCATCACTCAGGGTACATTATGCAAGCACTGTTGGACGTTTGTTGCTAATGCTTCATCCTGTTTTCCAGTGTGTTGCCTCCGGGTGAATGCATAACTTAAGGTACCTTAGGCTGCCAATCAGACATGGATGTTGGCAGGTTAGAGCAAATGGGCCTAATTTATTGTTTTCTACTTCACACAGTGGGCAACGCGGGGCCCTTGCACCTTATCAGCGATGGTGGGCATGTACACATTTGAAACATTCATCTGTCCCTGGTCCAAGTTGTACCAATGTTTCTGACAATGCAACTTCATTTCGCACTGGAAAAGCAAAGGTTCTAGCAAGTTAGGCTGCAACAAGCCAAATGCTGAGTGGTTGCAATTTTTGTGCTTATGCAATAGGTGGTGCAGTGCTGGCCCGAAACATTGAAAACCTGGCATGGAATGCCAGCAATGTGATAAGGAATGAAGCCCAAATGGGCGGTGGGGTGATGATTACGAATGCTGCATCGCTCATGGTCCAGGGTGTGAATCTGGACGTCAATGCCACAACTGGAACAGTATTCATTCCCCCAGGTGGTGGAACGAAATCAGTGTTTGAAGGCAACGTGGCATTTGATGGTGGTGGGCTCATGTGCTACGGATGTGGTAAGTGACCCAATGCACCTTGGTAAACCTAACATGTGTGATGTGTCCCTGTGGTAGTTATGTGTTGCCAAGAAGGGATGCTGGGATCCGTGGGGAATGGGGCTTGTTCTGCAAGTTTAGGACAATCTGTTGCCCTTGGAATCCTACACGACCAGTGTGCAAAAGCCACATTTTTGGCTAGGACAATATGAAGGCCCATTTCACCGTGTTAGGCACCCGCATGCCTGGCATTGGGGCTGCAACGTCGTCATTCAGGTGCTGTAGAAACAGCAACAGCGATTACCTTGTGAGCATTTCTTCCTCTGGAACCCTTTGAGGACCTGACGACAATATGTTGTGTCCAGATTCGATTTCCATTCAGTCGGCAGAGTTCCGTAACAATCGTGCAGCGGGCAATGGTGGTGGTCTGAGTTTTCTGGACTCCACTCCTACGGGGGCCATCGAACTTGGCACTGTCACCCTTGAGGGAAACCTTGCGACATTTGGAGGGGCTGTTTTCCTGGAAAGTGCTTCAAATTTCAGGATTCAGGCAGGGAGTGGCAATGTGCAGCGTACTCTGATCAGGGGGAACAAAGCAGTGGTTGGAGGAGGCTTGTTCCTGGCGTTGAAGAGTGTTCTCAACAACAAGGTTGAGGTGGGTCATTAGAGTCGTGTGTTGCCATGCGTTTCAAGTCACTTTAGTGCATGGAAGGTTCAGGGAAAATGCCACCTAACACCACTGGTGGAGCCTGCTCTTCATGTGCATGTGTGCATTTTTTGGTCACTACAGATATATGCAGATACAAAATTTTTCAAGCAATACTGCCAAGTTTCGGACAGAAGCAGTTGTCGTCATTGTGAGATTGGGGGCCCAAAGTTTTGATAGCAACAGATGGGAAATGGTCCAAGGAAACTGCCCGCCAATGGCAAAAATTTGTAAGACAACAGCATGAGCAACACCAGCCTTGCCCTCAGGGTACAGGACACTGCTGTGCTCATGTCCACACAAGTCCAGCACATCTGCAACAGTAGCAGCTTTTTTTCGTTGTTGTGCACCTTGCGGCGTGAAGCATGGCTATGAATGCATGGGAGGGCTATGCACATTGGGCAGTTTCTTGTGCAGTCACACGGAAGAATGCATGCCTTTAGCATGGACCTCACGTGCCTGATGTCGATACCAACAGAAAGTGGGAATTGAATTCTTACTACATGAGACGCGATGTTGAAGGTGAGCTACTCGTTTTGGCTCTGCTTGATCGAGGTTTGCTTCATGCACTGACTGCGATTCCCTTCTCATCATCGCCCTGCTTGGTTGTGCTGATGTGGCACAGTTTGTCTGCACGATTATACGGCCCACTGGCAATCACCAAGAGTGGCAACATTCCTAGCTCAATGCTTCCACGTCTGTGGGTTTGACTGATTCTGGTTTGGCCTGTTCCTGGTAGATTTTCGACACTGAACTGTCAAACAATTCAGCCATTCGTCTTGAACAGCTGGAGGATGAGCTTGCCAACGATGACCTGTTTCGGCTTGCCAATGAAACGATAAGAGGCAACGTTGGCCATGACAGGGACAGCGCAGATTTCTTCACAAACTGTGGGGAGGGTGGTGGCGGAGGGGCCTGCATTGTGCTCAGTCAACTCCCGCAGCGGGCAGGGGCCGATGTTTCAGTGCTGCAATCAGTCGTCACGAACAACAGCGCACTCAATGGAGGTACTGAACAATGAGTGGCTTTGCTGCAGCTTAGCCATGGCTGCTTGCTGTGATGCCTGAATGTAGCCACTCTGATGAATTAAGTCAGCTGGAATTTGCCAGGTTGTGGTGAAGCAATGACAGAAAGGGCTGCTGCTGACCCTGTCACGAATCCCTGTGGCTGCAATCCAGAGCTGAAACCCTCAAACATCAACCAATGCTTCAGTGATGCCCATCTGGACACTTGTTCAAGTTCAGGTTTATTCAAGCTCCTGCTGTCTTGCTTGGTAACACTACATAGAGAGAACGTAACAGAGATACTCTTACTGGGACTGAGGTTGTGACTGTTCTTGTATTGACCTGTACTTTTGTTATTGTTGAGTGGGAGGAAGGTCTGCAGGTATACTACCTTAGTACAGTTGTATTTGCTGGCAGACAATGACTTTACATGTGCAGAATTGCAGCCCATTCAGTCAGGCATTTGTTTGTCAGAAAAAGGGTAAATATCCTGGATATACATATCCAGGATGTGGCTGTATTCAGGATATGTGTATCCGGGATGTAGCACCCATAGCATGTTCGATATCTATGATCTGGGACTGTTTCCCGTTTGATGGTATGGACGTCCTGCTTGGGACACATTATGTTGTATTGAGGAGACGTCTTGAAACTTGTATCTCTACTTTGGATTTCCTGCAGTTCATCTGGTTTGGGGCTTTGGGCTAGCTTTGTGTTACTATCTGACCATTCCTACTCCTTGTAAGCAATAACCTGGGGCAACAATGACACTGTGGATGCAGTTATGTCCATTGCACCAGATAATTCACAGGGTGTCATTATCAGTGCCCTGAACACATGGACCACCTGTGTTGACTCCTACATATTCTGCATATTCCACGCCATTTAGCCACATTATTGCATACAGCCGGAAAATCAGTTGCATGGAATGATCACAACCTTACTGCCCAACTATTTGGATTTGTGGAATGGAAACAGCAGCGGGTGCTCCTTGAGATAATTGCGGCACAGGTTATATGCTGGTTGCTGTGGTGGAGTCGTCACACAGTGGAAATAGGTAAATAAACATAAGTCAGTGAGAGCGGCGGTGGGGTCAAAGTCTTGCAGAGATCGACTACTTGCTGCTTGTTGCCAGGGGGCTTGTTCATCAGCATACATGGAGACACCTGGAGCAGTGCAGCCTGCACCATTCAAGGGCCTGCATCGGTCCCTTGCCGCAGCGCACGCTTCCTCAATGTCAGCGTCACCAACAATTTTGCGGAATTTGGAGGGGGTGGAATGTTTGTAACTGAACCGCAGTCCTTGTTTGCAACATGCCCTGGTGGCCTGGCTCTTTTGGGGTTGCAAGGCAGCTTCAAGAGTTTGGCCGATGTCATCAATGAAGTGCTCACAGCGAGCCCATCCGATCTGCAGAATGAAGACTTTGTTATGGAGAACCTTACCTGCCTAGTTTTGGAAGGAAACAGCGTTGGGGACGAAAACGGATGGGGCAAGCAAGGTGCCTCTCAGGCAACAGCGTTGTTGCTTTTGACTCCCGAAAGTGGTGAAATCCGGAACCATACAAGCAATACTGTCCTTGGCGGAGGTATGGGTGTAAGTCTTGCGATCGTGGATATGTTTGGGGAGAAGGTGAAGGGCGGCAATCCAGATGCAGGTGGGGGACGGATACTGTTTTGTAGTAGTGCATCACGGTACAACACTGATGTGCCTCTCCTGTGGGATAATTTTTGACCCACGAGTTGCAGTCAACGTCATTTGCAGGCATTACTGTGTGCAAAATCAGTGGATCTCTTGATATTGTGGATGTGAGTGAAGGATTGCATGACATACATAGATTGCATGGCATGCACTCTGTTTTGCTGTTGTTGTGGTACCCATATGGCCCATGGGCATTCAGCAATTCAACTCTGCTCCTGACAACTCCTAACAACAAATTTCGCCATCCCATGCGCACTTTCCCTAATAAATGCCATACAGGAGATAAAAGTCAGTTTGGTTGCTGCTGCAGTTGTTGAGTAATCAGATCGCAGAAATTGCAAGGATGTGGAACATCTTGAAATATCTTTTGCTTGCATGTGCCCTTGCTCCAATGGTGAAAGCACTCCATGGGGCCTGTCTGTAAACCTGGAGAAGGATGGGAAAAGCAACATATGTGTGGGCGTGTGTGTTTGCAGAGCGACCTGTCATAGCTGTTTCTGTGTCAGTGACTGGGGAGACCATCGCGATGGCCAAAAATGGTGTGGCCACCTTCACTGGCTTGATCGGATTTGATGAGAGCGGGAATCGGTCAGTCATCTTCACCTCCGAGTCTTTGACCTCAACCAGCATGACTGTAGAGATACGCAGCTGCCTAGTTGGAGAGGAGGAGGAGAATGAGGGGAAGGGCTGCCAAAGATGCCCCAACAATTTCTACACGTTCAAACCTGAACAGGAGTGCCTGCAGTGCCCAGAGGAAGCTATTTGCACTGGTGGGGCAACATTGGCACCTAGAGATGGCTTCTGGCACTCGACGCCATACTCTCCAAACATCCTTGAGTGCATTGTGAGGGACGCCTGCCAGTACAGGGGCCGTGCCAGCAACTTGACTGCCTTCTACACAAACCTCACAGCCCTAATGCCCAGCAACTTGACTTTGTCAAATGAGGAGTACCCGCAGTGTGCGGAGGTGAGCTTTTGGCCATGGTATGGCAGGCAGCTGCTGGCATGTGAGGGATCCTGCTCACCAGACACTCATAACACGGGAAGATGGGATGCATACCTGTTAGCGTGAAATCCACAAAATTGATGGTAATGCAGTGTTCCATTGATTGTTGCTATGGATGACGACTGCCTATTTCAGACCTTCTGCTCCAAAATACCTGTTCCATTGTTATGTTGTCATCTAATGCATTGTTGATTGTAAGGATGGCTTGCTGCTGTATGATCCCTTTCTGCACTTGCAAATTTATCTTGACCGGACATTATATGGCACATTCTCTTTAAGAAGTTGCGAAGATCAGCACAGTAGCTACTGGAGTTTTGGTGAAAATGAATATCTATCCAGGCACATCTGTTGGCAAACCTGAAGATCCAGCGGAAGTTTTCAGCAGAGCTTTTCCTATTGTCAGTGGCAACAACTGCCTTTCTGCCTTCCACAGGGGTACAGGGGAGTCCTATGTGGTTCATGTCAGCCAAACTATGGACATATCGCAGGGGGCCAGTGTGAAGAGTGTAGCATGAGCAGGGCATCCATTATTGGCATCATCTTCGTTTTCGCTTTTTGGTCCATGCTCCTGATCTCCTTTGAAGTCTTCAATTCAATCCTCACAAATCGAGAGATGGTTCTGGGGGCCAGGAACACCCTCACAGCCATTCATGTTCCTCAGCGAAATGACTCAGTGCCAACAGATTATACCCCTATTCAAGGCGGAAAGTCTGAGCTTGTGTCCTTATTTGAAAGGACCAGTGCCAATGGTGAGTGATTTCTGTCGGTTTAGCAATCCCTTTCAATGATTGGTGGAGTGTTAGTGTCGTTGTTAGTGAATACTTGCGGCCAATGTTTCGAATCCTGTTCATCCCAGGAATTTCGTGGCTCTTTGGGTGTCACATGGTAATGTGGCCAGAGCACTTCTGTCCTTTGCGTTTCATTTCAAGCACTTGTTGCAGCTGTGCAGGGAGCATGGAGAGTCAGCACAAGTGTATAGAACAATACCCTTTTTGTGCAGTTGAGCGGCAACGGCATTTGGTAGCGCACCCACCAAGCGAGTACGTAGCAAGTAGTCAACAATCACACAATAGACAACAGAGCATTGTCCTTGATAAACCTCATTATACGTACCGCCGTTTCTGCTTGTGAGCGGCATCTGATATCATCTGTTTGGTTCGAAGGCTGTGCTCTGTCACAAATTTGAACAAATGTAATCTCAATATGTTTGTGCTGTAAAGCTTCAAGTAGGTGATAGAGCTGCACATTTTTTCATGCCCGGTGGCTGCTTCTGATGCATTGGTGCTGCTGGCATTAGGTGGGCTCCGCAGGGCGTCCAGTGAGAAGGTGGTGGGCTCATTCAGAAAGCCAGAAGAAAGGCTGCCTCCGATTGTCCCCCTGGAGCCAAGATCTTTCCAGCGGCAGTCCACACACTTGGAGGATTTTTGGCGTCGCCAGAATAACACTTTCCTTCAGTCGCTTCCCCGTGGAGATAGCAGTCTGCCGGATGTGGAGGTGGAAGATATGACACTGTCAGAGCACATCGTCGCCGCTGAGAATTTGACGGAAACCGTGAAGGTCAGTAGGAAGTTGGACGCATGCTGCCGGTACACGCCATGCCTGTCGCATGATGGATTTTTGTTGGAAAGCTGCTGAAATTCCCCAAATCGAGTTGTGCATTTTGTCTTGTTTGCTTTGTCTGAACTTGGAAAACAAGGCATGGTAGTCTGTTTCAGTCATTTCGGTGCCTGTGGATGGCATGCACGTCATTTTGAATTATGCCAGGCTGTTGTGCAAGCA